GGCACTAAAAACCCGGCTTCGTGTACCCTAGAGGCTGGCTTAAAAAAAAACAAAAAAAAAAAAAACAGATATATTTACATATATAAGTCACCACATTTTACGAACTTCTTGGTGTGCTTTCCATGATGAAGGGGTGGAGGGTGTGAAAATAAAAACTAGCACGTTCGTCTTTGCACCGACTTCCCCTCTCTGTCTCGTTTTTGCACTGCCCGCTAGTACGCCCCCTGGCGGCTGAAGAAGAAAAATCCATAGAAAAGCCGCATCTTTGTATAAGCCGCACGGTTCATAGCGTACGAAAAAAAGTAGTGGAAAATACGCTAGGTACCTTTTTTTAACTGCTGGTCCGCGGACCAGGAGTTTATACAGACAATTTACAACCGGCCCTTTAAGGGGAACTGTGTTGCTGATGCGCCCCCCCACCCCCGTAGAAAATGAGCGTGCCTGCGATCCCTAACAGGATAAATTTTGAAGATGGAAGGGTGGCAGGGGGAACGGGGGAGGGGCCTATTTACAAAGTTGGCGTCTCCGGCGTCTCCGATTTCCCCGGTTGGCTTCACTCACCTCAGTGACAGTTAGTCAGCTGACGACATCAACCGGAGTTAAATGTAGCTCGGCAGTCGGTGGTGCCAACGACGTCCAGATGGAAGTAGGAAACGTGATACGGAGCGCTGCGCTACACGTTAGCGCCGAGCAGCCAAGCTTCTGCTCTCTGCACAGGTGGGTTCGATTAGTCAAAAAAAAAAAACCAAAAAAAAAAACGTGTGTTTCCTGTTGATTAGCAGCTGGAGTTTGTAACTTGTCACTGAAGTGTGTGTGTGTGTGCGTGAGTGTGTGCGTGCGTGTGTGTGTGTGTGTGTCGAAGTTCATTGTTTACAGTGTTGCGTAATCAGGCTGCAGCTGGAGACTCCTCTGCTCTGGTTCATGCGCACGGCTCCGCTAACAGGAAATACATCAAACGTGAGCCGCGTTCGGATGTGCTAGCGATTGCGTCGCCATTGTCTTCGCACACATGTAGCTCATTTATGTTCGGCCTAGCCCCCCCCCCGGCCCCCACACCCACTCACCCTGTCCTTATTTCCTGTTGTTGAATTCATGGAGTCACGAAAGCCAACATTCGCAAAAACATTTCGCTGGAAACTTGTCCCTCGTTCTCGTCCGTTTGTTTGACGTCGCACAAACAAATGAATCCTCCCGAGTTCGAAAAGAAAATACTTTGCGTGAATGTTCGGAGTTTGACTCAAATCTTTTGTCTCTTTTTATGACGCAAGTCCAATTCGTTGTCACGGAACAAATCGGTTTTCATCGTTTCCCCGGACGTCACTGCTCTGCGCCGGGTCATATACCACGATAAAACCGGCAAGAGGTGGCAGTGAAGACGACCCAGAGACCAGTCTGAACTGGTTTGGGTCGTTGACCTGCGGGAATCCGTCCAGTCTCGGAATCTGTCCGAGAACCATTCTGACTCAGCCGCGATCAAAGACACACAG